AAATTAAAGCAGATCTAAAGAAGTTCTAAGAAGATCTAAAGAGGTTACGTGGAGGTGCATCCTACCCACTGTCAGATGTGAACACAGTGATTCTAGGGCTGCTCCCAAAATAATTGCTTCCTGGAGCAGAACTCACAGGGGAGATGGGAAACCAGAGCTTAAAACAGCAGGGAGACAATTGTGAGAGCTAAAGGCAAACAAATGCTACATCTGATCTGCCGGAAGGAGTCAGAATTAATCCTCTCCATTACAGTGACTGGTGTTTCCCTGAGCCCTTGGGTCCACCTTGAAAATAGGATTTTTCTGTCCTTTACTTGCCAGTGAATAACAAAGGCTCTTCCTTCATTTTTGAAACCTCAGAGATGAAATTAGGGGCAAGGGGCAAGTAGGGCAGTACCCAATGTTTCTGTGAGGCACCTGGGGTTATTGTGGACACAAAGCTGAGAGGATGCCAAGGGTGGATGAGGCTTTGGATGCTGATGCTGAGCTTTCCGAAGGTGCTCACATCCAAGAGGAAAACTGTGATAAAAGTTTCACTTCTAAACCCAAGAAGGATCAAGTACCAGACAAATCCCTGATGTCAATGATAGCTTCTTCATTCCTTAATGCCTTTGTTTGGAGGCTGAGGTCTTTGTGAAAGATATTTTTAATCAAATACTAACTGTTAAGCATGGTGATTATTGGGTGAAATGCTATCGACTGTTATTCTGCAGGCTGATGAGATAATAGTCTCTGCCTGCCCTAAAATCAGGCTGGGCATTTTAAGAGGCTTCCATAAAAAGGCCATCCTAGCAAATAATTACAAATAATTACTCAGGGTGGTAAAAGCAAAGTGCTTGTGAATTCCTTGGTGTCCATGAGAGGTTTAAGGACTGTTGCACGTTACCTTGCTGCCAGTGGGGGCAAGCTGATGCCTGATGATACATCTAGAAGACCTCCAGGTTTCAGTGGGCACTTAGTGCTCTTTCCCAACCTTAATGATTCTGAGATCACCTACTTCAATCATCGGCCCTTGCTTGCTAACCATGTCCCTCAGTGCTACACCTCCCTGTTTCTTGAACACCTCTGGGATGGAGAACCTGCCACCTCCCTGGGCAGACTGTGCCAATGAGTTAGGGAAGCAGTGCCAGGGCTCAAGGCAGGGCTGCCTCCAGAGCATTGCTGGAGGTGAACGATATTCCTTCAGTATTTCCCTCTTGCAGGAGGGTAATTTTTATTTTTCCTCTATAAAACCATGACCAGTAAGACTTGGGGATGGGCCAGTAACAAACAGAGAGACAGATTGCATAGAGGATTCACCTGAACTTGCAAGAAATCAGCATGCACTTTGCACAGCTTGGAAAAACCTTCACCTCTCTGGTGTGTGGTATGGAAGGAAACAGCTTCCCCAGAGCTTATGTGGTACAAACACGTCCTCAGCTCCAACCTATGGCCATGCACAGCCTGCTGCTAAGCTGTGGCCATGGCCATCTTGCAGAGCAGACAGGTGGTCACCTGTCACACTGGGAGGGAGCGGTGCAGAAGCAGAGTGAAACCTGAGCACAGATGAGCATGAGCCACGCTGACTCCATCTGCGCAGCCCTCCAGCACTTTTCTCCTAGGAGCTTTGTTTGAAACATAGCCCTTAATTATCTCTTCCTTTTTCTCCCTAAACCAAGTTGTACCTGTGTTTTTGTGTGCGTGTTCACTCAAGGAAGGGAATCTGAATGTGCTGCTCCTAAGAAGTGCCTGAATCTGTTGCTTGTGGTTAATGATGCATTCAGAAAAAGCTGAACTAAAGAGTTCAGGTGAAGGCTCATTTATAACATAGCAGTCATGAATACAAAGACTTGAGTTGTTGTGGGAATGCTTCACTTGGTCACACAAGCTTAAATGTGAAGTTTCTGGTCTCAGGTGTATCAGCCTGTGACCACTTCAGTCGTCTGTGTTTTTGTACATGTCTTAAAGGTTTGTTTTGTGAATGCTTGAACATACAATATTGGGCTGCTCTGTGGGCTTGTTTCTAACGGGCACTTACACCAGCAACAGGTAGTTGTTCCCATCCCACTGGAAAAGAATTCAGCAAAACAGAGGGAACCATAGAGTCATTAGTGTTGGAAAAGACTACTAAAATCACACAGTCCAACCAGTATCTCACTCCCATTGTGCTCACAAACCGTGACCCTCAGTGCCACAACTCCGCAGTTCTTCAGAGCTTTCAGGAATGGTGACTCCCCCTCCTCACTGGGCAGCTCATTCCAGGGCAGTGTCATTCTTTCTGAGAAGAGATTTTTCCTGATATCTATCCTGAAATTTGTTTTAAAATTTAAGTCAGTGCTCACGGAATTGTTTTGTTATCCACTGTGCTTTAGATTTTCCATTCTCTTTGTTTGTAAGTAATTTAGGGGGAAAAATCGTCCAGGATTAGTGTCAAGTGTTCTGCTTTGAACGTCTGGCATAACCTCCAGTCAGTACATCTGGTATGGGTGGATGCTGCTCAACAGACTGTTTTTTGTTGTTGCTATATTTAAAGAATCCTGTGCCAAAACCTGTTTAGCTGAACACGATGGCTGCCCATTATCAATCACGCACTGCGCGCTGGCCACAGAAGCCAACTTAAGCAATATTGGTACCCTACTGAGATACCTGAGGGAGTGCAAACGTGGAGTGCTGGATAAAAATAGCAAACTGCAGGCTGCTTATTGCTAAGTGCTATTTAACAGAGCAGGAAGTTAGGGAATTTGTCTTAACCTCTGAGAGAAACAAATGTTCTGCCCAGACTCTGAGGGGATGAAAGCAGCCAGGTCAGGGCCGAAGCAAAATGAAACTTATTATGTTTAAATCGCAGAATCATCTTTCATCTCTCAAAAAGAGATTTATCAGGAAATGATTTAGGAGTTCCTGAGATCTCCTGAAGCATGAGGAGGGCAGATGTGTGCAGCCTTGGCTTGAGGGCATGTCACCATCCCTAAACCTGGGAGGAGAGGCTGAACAGGGAGGATGAGAATCTGGGAGGAAGGTGGAGGCTATGAAGGAGTTAGACAAGAAAAATGTGCCAGCAACTGAAGGAAAGAGATGAAAGGGAAAAGGAATGTGGAAAACAAAGTGCAGACGTCAAGGAAAGGTGGGGAGGGGAAACGATGATGGTTCTAAAATTGGAATGGGGACAGAGAGATCTGCTATGCTTCTCACCCCAGGCATGAGATTCCCAATGAAGCTGCTGCCCATCCTGGCTGGGGTTAGAAGGGTGAGGACTGGGGTCTTTGGTGTCCAGATGGGAAAGTGGGGGATGTGGTTCCTGCAGCATTCTGGGCTGTTTGGGAGTTTCCTGTTTGGGGCCATCTCTGCACATTTCAACCCTCTTCTCTCCAGAGCTGCCTTCAGTTCAGGACACACCACTGTGTGTGAAACCAGCTGCAGCATTTCACTGTTTCAAATCAGTTTTTGCAGGTAACTCCTAATATCTGCTACTGGTCACAAACAGCTTGTGAGAGCCTTGCCATCTATTATACGTAACTTCTGTGTGCTGAGGGGGAAGAGAGGGAACAACAGGAAGAGCTCAAACTGTGCTCCAGCTGCAGCCTGGGTTTGCTTCTGCCTTCTTAGTACTTGCAGTTCTGAAGGACGTGGAGAGCTTTGTGGTGAATTCTGGTTGCCTGAAGGCATTCTCTACAAGATGTGGTGTAGGGCTGAAGTCATCTAAACACGCAATTTACAACTAAGCACCTACTTAGAGCACAGAACTCTCAGAGAGAAGCATGGAAAAGGGGGCTCAAGGACACTGCCTCTTTCATTTCTGTGAAGTGGTGGGTGAGAATAAATTCAGTACAAACTCTTTCCATTTGCCAATATCCATGTTTACCTTTTCTTCTTTTATTAGTCGTTGCATGCATATGTTTTTATATCAGAGAGAGGGACAGAGAATCACAAAAAATGGCAAAGACCCCTAAAGGTCATCATCCTATCACCACTGTACTGCTGAACCACGTTACTCAGTGTGACATCTACCCTTTTCATATATTCGTGTGTGTGTGTGTGTGTATATATATATATATATACGTACACTGAATCATGTGCAATTTTTTTCAAAGTCAGTGGAAGGACTTTTATGTATCAGTGGGTTTTGGACAAAAACCCTCTCCTGGCCCCCTGTTTTTTCCAGAAAAGCAGAATTATCTGTACCCAAGTTTGTCACAGTAAGTAAGAGGCAGATGTCCATGGCATGCAGGCAGTCCTTTGGGTGGATTCATTTAGGAAAGAAAACATGACATTTCACCTCCTGAAGATTACTGTGAGATGAAATATGAGGCTTTATCCACCTAGCAACACCTTTATTAAAAACTCTCTGCAGCATTTCCTGGGTAGCACAGCAAGTAGACCATCAGCAATGGAATAGTGCCCTGATGCTGGATGAGCTCTGGCAAGTGAGAGTGCCTCGGTGCTGCACGTGTATCACGCAACAACCGAGGTGCTGATTGCCCTGTGCAAGCCATTCCCTGTGCCAGTGACCCCATCCCAACCAGGGCCACCGTCCTTCTGTGAGACGAGGTTGGGTACCAGGGCCCCCAGCCCCCCGTGCGATGCGGTTCGGTACCGCGGAAGCACCGCGAGGCAGCGGCGTCCTCAGCCCGGCGGGCGCAAAGGGGCAGATACTGGGGGGACGAGGCACCCCGCATCGAGCCACAAGTGGGAAGATAGCCCAGCACACATGCACCCCTTTGTACCAAGACACCCATGGGTTTGGGGTGCGGGAAGGACATAATGGGGCTGAAAGCTGGACGCTGGGAGGCTGCAAAATCTACCTGTGAGAAGGATTTTATAAAGCCTAAAAGATGTAGCATCCCTGGTAGGGCGCCGAGCCCTGGTGCCGCAGCGCTGGCTCCCGCCGGGCTGAACCCCCTCCTGCAGCTGCGGGCTCAGGAGGCGGCGCGGGGAGGCTCGGCTTGTGCAGCCCCCTCCCTCCTCCTGTCCCTCCTCCTCCTTCTCCCGTGCCAACCTGCTACCGCCTTTGTCAGCGCAGCCCGGCGCTATGGCATCCTGCTGGGGCTTTGGGCTCTTCCTCCTCCTTCTCTTCCTCCTCCTCCCGGCTGGGAAGCGGCTGCTGCAGAGGAAGGGGCAGCCCTGACGGCCGCGCTTCCCTGGCAAGAGGCAGGCGGAGCCCCAGGTGAGCATCGGGGGGGACGTGCGGGATGGGGTGTAGGGGACGAGTGGTCCCCATCTGTCGGGAGAATGCAGGGATTGGAGGGTGGGAGGTGACCTCAGCACCGGTACCCCCACAGATTGGAGATGTGGGGTGCAGGATGGAAGCCCCCAGTGCTTTGCTAACACCTGGGGTGTCACCTCTTTGCTGGGCTTCCCCAGGAAGGGGAGATTCAAAAATCTTGAAACTCCATGACTTTGGCATGGCGCATAGTTCCACACAGATTGTTTTGTCTCTAGAGGTGACCAACACTGTGAGCCCCAACATGGGCCCCCAAATCCCTGTTGGAGATTCTGCACCCCCTGGGTTGAGGAGCCCATCTGAGTGAAGTCAGATCTGGTGTGTTTGTGGGTTTGCTATGTAGAAATGCAGGTAGAGCATGGATGGAATGAAGCGCTCATGTTTGACTTGATCTGTATTTGTCTGACAGTGTTTGCAGTGGTGTTTGTTTCACTGTACAGAAATTTTTGGCAAAAAATTTAATTTGGGTTTGCTCTGATATAGTGCATTGGCAGGACAGCGTTTGTGTGTGCTTGTTGGCCAGTAGTTGGCAAAGAATAACTAGGAGAATCTGATGCAGTAATAATTCAAGTAATTTATTGCATGGTTTTAGACTGATTGCACTTTGCCAGACCATACACAAATCTTAACCCGTGTTACATAACCAAACAATGCAAATAATAAGCCTGATGTTAGTGTATGAGAAAAACCTATGGCAAACCCTGTTTGACACTGCTGTGGGGACATGCTGTCTTTACCCACAAGTTCCCCATCAGCTGATGCCCTGGAAGTCTTTGGAGGCTACTGGATTTTATTGGGGAGCTGAAGTGCAGAGTCTCTTTACAGCATGGTCTCTGCTGGGAGCTGGGTTAGCACAGTGTGCTTTCACAGGGCTTGCTCAAACAGTGCCAGAAAACAGCAACTTCTCCCATTGTTAACCCACCCCAGGTGAACCTGGATGGGGCCAGCGGTGGTGATGCCCATGAGAATGCTAAGTGTGCATTGTTCCTGTACAGAACAGTGCCAGTGAATGAGCTCCTCCGGGATGCCTGTCTGCAGCCATTCCTCCCTTCTGGCTCCAGAGGAGTGAATTAAAATCCTCCAGAGGAGTGAATTAAAAGGGCAGCACGGCGCAGAGCCGGCACAGCTCCCTCCATCCTGGGCGTATAGTCTCTCCAACCCTGCGTGAGCTAGAGCTGCTTGAGAGGGCTTTTCCATTCCTATCGCATGGATGGGGCTCTGAAGTGCACTCCTGAGTTTTCTTCTTAAGAAGCAGAAGGCAGGGGGAGGAATAAGGCATGTGGGAAGGGACTTTGCTTCCATCGGGTGGAAGGAAAACAGAGCTCTGGGTGCATGTCCATCAGCATTTCTTAATGTGTGGGCATTGAGATGTATCTGTGAGCGTGAGAGAAAACAAAAACGGAGCCCCATCTCCATGCATTCCATGTTTCGTGCAGTGCACCCTGCCTGCCTTGTTTTATTGTATCTGGCGCAGGGAAGACAGGCTGCAAGATTTATGAGCTGAAGCTAATAGTAAAACAGCATATTACAGTCTCTGTATTAATGTTCTCCCACACTGAAGTAGCTCTCTCTTCCTGGGGGAACTGATGTGAGGATTTCATCTATTTGTGGTTGAGGTGATAGTGCTATAGGGTGGCCCGGTAGTCAACAACAGCGATAGAACAAAAGCAAACCAAAGGGAGAGGGAAATGATGATTCTGGTAACCACATCCATGTGTGAGCTCTGGGAAATGGGGAGAGCAAATGTCAGAGGCACTGAGAGCAGGGAAGGAAATGAGGGAGGGCATCACGGAGGAGGATAACACAAACTGACTGCCAGCAGCTCCTATCTGGGCTTCTGCAAGGCACCTTTCCACTGCCAGAGGTGGGACTTGGAGTTCCATGTTGGGATTGGTGTACTCCAAAGCAGTGGGGCAGAGTTTGGGCTGAAACTGTCATGCCCCAGCGCTGGGTTGAGCCACCAGAAAAGAGAACAGCGCATTCTCCTTGCGATGGAGGCTGCCATACTCTTGGTCTGTTCCCCCAGAGCCTGCGAGATCTTTGTGGTAAGATGAGAGCTCCGCTCGCTGCTCTTGGTGCAGGGCAAGAAGGCATTGATTTGCGGTGAGCCTGGAGCTCATCTGTGCACAGTCAGAGCCAGAGCCCATCGACTGCCCGTGCAATATGATGCTGCACAGTCCACGCTGCGATATAATTGTGCTATTAGGGCTGCAGATGTTGGGGCTGAGGAAGCTAAGTCCAAGTAACTCTCCTGGAGTTAATAGAAGAAAATCATTAAGGATGGAGTGTTAAGTGGCTCGTTTGATCAGAGGCTGTCTTGCTGAGGATGAATAAGCTGGATCCTGTCCCTGTGCCTGGTGGTCAGCTTTGTGTCTCTGGAGGATAAAGTTGGTCTGGGGTTGCTGAATGTGAAGATAGGGCAGGAGGATTTGGGTGGAATTGAGGCCATGTGAGCACCCCTCTGTGCTGGTATGCTTGCTGTGGGTGCTTTCATTCTCTTTGCTGCCTTTGACTGGTTCATGACTCTATGCCCTCTCTGAAAGTTCTTCCTGTTCTTATTTTGGAGCTTTGCATTTATGTGCCGTGTCCAGGTCTATTCTGGTCCTGCTTTGAGATGTGATGAATGAACATGGCCCCAGTGCTGGGGATGTGGCAGCTCCTACGATGACTTGCCAGGAGGCTGCTGCCTCTGTCACAGGCATAACAAGAGACAGGAGACCATAGCGTGCCACTAAAAGCCTGGGCACCAGGTTTGCCTGGAAACAAGATTTGGAGGCTGTCATATATAGTCCTTCTGGGGTATTGCATCTTATTTTATTCTCACAGCATGAATCTGTTGTGTATTCTACTGGCAGAGTTTCTGATGCTCTGACACAGGAGTGCTCCCACTTCCATGGCCAGTCTGAAGCTCAATGAACCTTTTACACCTGAGCGTGTCCCCACTGGAGAGGAGCTTGTGAACAGCCAAAGAGTGAAGGGGTAATAATTCCACCTCCCAGCTAGCTTGCTTCTCAAGACCTGTGTCTAATTTTGCAACCTGCCTTTTCCATTCCCAACTCCCAGAGCTCAGTCTCAGTTGTGCAAATTGGCCAAATCCCACCTCCACAGGATCAGTTCTCTCAACAACCCCTGTTTCAAAGCCTCTGTCACTTCTTTGTTCCCATGCTGCCTTATCAGCTGACTTATCAGCACCTTGCTGGTGCTGGTCCAGCTAAGCAGTGTGAGACCTGGAATTATGTAGAGGCTTCCTCTGAACCCTACTGAAGGTGTCGATACTCAGCACTTTGAAAAGCAGGCAGCGCCTAAGTTGTAGGACAAGAAGTAATGGCTTTAAGTTGGCATTAAGTTGCCAGGGGAGGTTCAGGTTGAGTGTTAGGAGAAGTTTCTTCTCAGAAAGGTGGTGAGGCAAAGGCTACACAGGGAGGTGGTGGAGTCACTGCCTATGGAGGTGTTCAAGAACTGTGGGGATGTGGCACTGAGAGATGTTGTCAGTGGGCATGGTGGGGGTGGATTGATGGTTGGGCTGGGTGATCTTAGAATCATTAAGGTTGGAAAATACCACTATGATTCTGTATACTGGATTCATGAAGTTTAGTTACCTGGCAGGAAGTTGAAACCTCTGCTGGGAAGAGTGCTGTAAGAATGGCTTTGTGCAAAATAGAAAATTTTGAGAAACTCTACTTGGCTTCTTTTCATTGGCACGAGAAATGTCGGTGTGCTGGGAAATACAGGGGAAAAATGGGTTAATGACTTTAAGAAGTATTTTATTGCAAAATGACTACTTGTGTATTTCAGCAGGAGGGCGAATGGGGAAAAAGGAGGGCTCTGGCAGATTGGTGCAGGCAGAGCAAAGTGTACATCAGGCTGTGAAAATGTATGTCCAGGTGTGGATTTGGTGAGAAGCTGTGAAGCTCCAGAAGGGAGGAGATGTTTGCTTTTGCTTGTATTCAGCTCTGAGGTGGCAAAACATCAGACTGCCACAATTTCCACAAATGGCAGATTTATAGCATGCTGAAAATTGAGTTGCTGCACTGGTCCCCTGGTTGCTGGCCCCACATGTCAAGTTAATTCTGGGAGCACTCGGTGGCTTCGGTGGCAGATTAGAGCAGCTTGGACTTGGCTAGGATGCTTCATTTCCTAATGGTGACAAGTCAGAGAGATGCAAAGGCAGGGTGATAAAGAGGCTGTGCACAAGCGCATTCAGTTGATAAAGAGGAAAAGGGTACAACCATCCTCCTGCAGCTTTCAGCATTACTTTCTGCAGCTGAGCGCTGAGCAATATAACATTTTTGCTCTCCTGTCAGTTAGCAGAAGAGCTGTGCTGCTGTGCATAATACGGGAGCTTTAAAAGCAAACATGCTTGCAGCGGAGGTGCCTGAAAATCCCTGTAGCCATTGGTTTCCGAGTGTGGTGTTTACTATCACAGGGACACATTGATGCTGTTGCTACTCAGCTCCTGATCGTAGGCAGCAGGAAGATGCTTCTGAAATAAAAAGGCAAATCTGCATGGAGATTTCCTCACAGGCAACTGCTTTTTTTTTTTTCTTTTTTTTTTTTCCCCCTGTGGAAGGTGCTGCTGTGGTGTTGGCTGTGAAAGCTGTTGTACGCTGGCTTCTGACACTGATAGCAATCAGCAGTGTAACATCAGGTCAAGATGAAAGGCCACAGCACAGAGAGTTCAATGTTTCTGCTCAGTGCTCAGGAATTCTGATATTTTTGGATGGGGGGTGACTTTTTAAAGGAGTAGTAAGGAACCTTGCAAGCCTAACCTGTGCTTTGTCATTCAGATAGACATTCTGCACTTGGTGTGGATAGAGATGCCCTTTTTCAGGGACATCTAAGGGTGGGAATGAATGGGGGGAAATACCACAGCTTTTGGGGAAGGAGAAATATTTGTGTCATTCCTATGAGTAAGAATAACAAGTGACCAGGCATAGGAATTGGCAGATTACAGCATACTGTGACCTGCGTAGACCAGTGAATTGCTAGCATCCTTTCCAGATCCATAACAGCCAGAGGTTGGTTCCCACTCTCAAAGCATGGTTTCACAACCTTCCCAACACACTGCTCACAATAGCTGTGCTTGCTTCAGTGATTCCTGTTATTCACAGAAACGTGCAGCCTTTTCTCCCCACCTCTGCCCTGTCTCTTCAGGCTGGTGAATGGAGCTGCATTGCCCAGCTTTCTCTGGGATCATATCACTGAAGAGGATGTGCTCTGTCCTTGATATTTCTCAGCCTTCAGACGCTCCCTGATTGGCAGGCAGCCCTCTAGCATCTGCTGGATTGGTTTCAAGATTGTGAGATTTTTTTTTTTCCTTAACTCTTTCTATTCTTCTCTCAATAGCAAGCAGGTTGTCACAGTACATCTGCCATGAGTTCAACCCCTGCAAAGCTCCTACTGTTTATTCACTTGCTCATTTTGGCAGATACTGACACAAATGAGCCTCCTTGGATGAAATCCTGCTTCCATTTAAGCATTATTGACTTCATTGATGCTAGGATTACAGCCTTGGAGGTTGGAAACTTGAGGCTGGGTTATAAAACCAATCCCTTGATTGCATGACTAGAGTCAGGTCCCATCTGTGGCTGAATTACAAGGTCCTGGGCATTATCTATGGGTGACTTACAATCTTTTCTGTTTGCTGTTGTGTGTTGCTGTAGAAGTGGAACACAGTTTCCAGTTAAATGACAAAATACGCTTAAACTATGGAGTCCAACCAGGAAACCTCACTCTTTCTGGTGAAGATCTTGGAGGAGCTGGACACAAAGCAGAATACTGTTTCTTACCAGGATCTCTGCAAGTCACTCTGTGCAAGGTTTGATCTGTCCCAGCTGGCCAAACTCCGTAGTGTGCTGTTTTACACTGCTTGCCTGGATCCTAATTTCCCAGCAACTTTATTCAAAGACAAAATGCGATGCACTGTAAACAATCAGCAATCAAAGAAAATCATGGTGGCAGCAGATATAGTAACGATATTCAATCTCATTCAAATGAATGGAGGAGTGGCCAAGGAGAAACTTCCAGTTGCAAGGCAGAAAGTGAAGAAGAAGGAGTCCTTTGAGTCATGTAGGTCTGACACGGAGATCTGCAACATGGCAGAGTGCGTGCCCAACTGTGAGCTGAGTGAGCAGGACTTCAGCCAGGGCTTTGCAGTCAGAAGGTCTTCAAAATGCAGGAAGATGGACTGCAAAGACTGCCAGCAGTTTGTTCCCTCATCAGAGCCCAACTTCTTGCTTGGAGTTAACAAGGAGATGAAGGGCCGGGCTGCATCTCTGGACAGGCTGCAGGCTCTGGCATCCTATTCCATTGCCACGTCTCCACCGTGTGAGATGCAGAGCACGTACTTCCCCATGAACATTGAAAATGAATCTATTTCAGACCAAGACTCTTTGCCTATAAGCACAGGCCTGAAAGAAACTTTCATTTCAAACGACGAGCCATTTGTGATGCAGTCGTGTGTCCAGAAAAGAAATATATTCAAAGAAGATTTTCATAATCTGATTACAATATCTCCCAACTTAATACCATCCAACAAAAAGCCAGAAGATGGACACAGAGAGCCTCAGAACAGAAAAGAAAGCTCTAAGCAGACTTTTTTCAACCACAGCTTTGAAATGCCATACAGCAGCCAGTACTTGAATCCAGTTTATTCTCCTATACCAGATAAAAGACGAGTGAAGCACGAGAGCTTAGATGATCTTCAAGCTTCAACGTATTTCGGCCCAACGACTATTCTTGGGCCCCAGGACACAAAAAAGTGGACCGGAAAGCCAACCAAACAAACTGCCTGGCCAGCTAAAAGCTGGAGTTTAAATACTGAGGAGGTACCTGACTTTGAACGATCATTTTTTAATAGAAAGCAGTCAGAAGAGAAGCCACGGTACCAGAGCTCAAATAACCCATCTCCAAACTTCCCTTCAGCTGACAGACATCAGTCCTACCTAAATCCGAAGGATCAGCAACCCATTATGCAGACAAACTACGCTGTGAAACAAAATGGACACAAACCCAAGGAAATTCCTTCCATTCTAGATGTGGAAAAGCACGAGCCAGTCAAAAAGTTTAAGGACAAAAGCATTAATTGCACTTCTGTTCAGATCTTAAGTATTGACAGAACCATGAGTGTTGGGACACAAACGGAGCAGCAAGTCCTGGACCATAAGAAATGTAAGGATTTGTGTGCACCTGGCCAAGCCAAGTATGCAGAGCGGCACTCTCTTAAGCACTCAGATGATGACTCTGAAATAGTGAGTGATGATATCAGTGACATTTTCCGGTTTTTGGATGACATGAGTATCAGTGGGTCCACAGGAGTGATGCAGTCTTCGTGCTACAATAGCACTGGTTCCTTGTCTCAGATGCATAAATCAGACTGTGACAGCTCACCTGAGCACAATCTGACTAAAATCTCCAACGGGAGTGCCTGCAACAAATTAGATAAAGTGGTCCGGGCAGATATCAGTAACGTGGATGATGAACTGAAAACAAGTGTCTGCAAATTAGTTTTGAGGATTGGTGAAATAGAGAAGAAACTTGAATCGCTCTCAGGCGTCCGAGAAGAAATCTCCCAGGTCCTGGGAAAATTAAGCAAGTTGGATCAAAAAATTCAGCAGCCAGAGAAGGTCAGCGTGCAAATAGATCTCAACTCACTGACAAGCGATGCCGCATCAGATGAAAGTAATTCCCCCCAGATATTTCAGTGCCACAACACTCCTCATGGAAGCAAATTAGAGAACAATCCTGAATGGTGCTGTTCAGACGCCAGCGGAAGTAACAGTGAGAGTCTTCGAGTAAAGGCCTTAAAAAAAAGCTTATTTACTAGGAGGTCATCAAGATCATTAACAGAGGAAAATAGTGCAACTGAATCCAAAATAGCAAGCATTTCAAACTCTCCTCGAGACTGGAGAGCCATTACTTACACCAACAAAGTTGGCATCACAGACGAGGAAATGAAAGATAGAGATGGAGGAGAAAACAAGGACTGGCACAGGAAATCTAAAGAGGTAATTTCAACCTTAGCTCCCATAATAAACACCTAAAAATAATCTAGTTATGAATGTTTTCCACAGTCACCACGAGCCTCAGGATATGGCAATTCTTTGCCCTGCCATGTTATTCCTATCCTTATTGTTATCGTAATTGAGTGATTTTGTACCTACATATTTTGTGCTGAGCAGCTGCAATATGGTCAAGTTGTTCCTAAAAGCACTTCGCTCTTTTGAAAAGAGAGAGGAATAATTTGGGTGAAGTCTTTGAAAGAAGATGATGTTCATCATCGTCATGTAAGGAGGCCAGGTAATTAACTTGGTGAGAAGAGCACGAGGAAAATTGTTACAGTCTGAAATTCTCCAGAGGTTGGTTTAAAAAGATGGTTTGAAATTGCATGGCGATGGCTATTATCAGAGAAGCATATTTAAAACGCAAAAAAATATATTCATGGTTTTGAATCCCTCAGGAAAAGAACCTTTGCATGTGCACCATGAGATGCAAACTGTAGTTACGTATCTGACCGTCACAGCCATTTACAAGTGTCTTGAACCCTCCTCTGTCTTGTTTTCGTCAGTCGGAGGATCTCTGACCATCTGTTCCAACCACTGCCCACTGCTGCCTTCACAGATAACATGCCTATTGTGGCTGTCCTTGCACAGAGATACGGTTGCTGCTCAGCTACAACTGCATACTATGTGGGCAGTTGTTTCAGTTTCAAGGAAGTGGAGGCTGGTAGAGGGCACTGGGGATCCTACAGCTCCATTGTCTACCAAGAACACAAGATGGCCTTGCTGTGACTCCTTAAGATGGGGATAGAGGGCAAAGAATGATTGAGGAAAGAGAGGGTGACGTTTGATGGGGCAAGTCCAAAGGAATGAACAAGAAGCCATGAACCATGGGTTATTAGCAGATTGCAGAAGGGGAAAAGGGTTACCCTTAGTAAGCCCAACTCTCAGCATTTCTGTACATTCATCTGCCCAGAATGAAATGCTGACTTTGAAAGTCCCTTCCTTGCTTCTGTGGTAGAGTATGGATCACGTTGGATTGGTTCAACGGGTGGTATGGTGTCAAGGGGAGAGTATTCCAGGACATCTTCCTGACAAGATTTGATCTGGAAACACAAATCTGGAAGCTTGCATGGAGCTCATACCAGGCCAGCTAGGATTTTCTGCGTGTCAGGGCTATTTTCAGAATAGTTTTATAGCCTGCAAACAGTACGAAACCTAAATTTCCTCTTTGCATCTTCTTTGTGTTCATGCTGTGGAGAGCCAAGTCTGTAAAATACCTCTTTGATCTGGTTGTGAGAAGAGGGTGGGCAAAAAAGATTAAGGACAACCAAAGCCTTTGTTCTAACTGGTACTTCTCTTATTGTGACCTATAAGCAATATCTTTTGGTGAGTCTAAAAGGAATATCTCTGTCCTCTGTGTTTAACTCCCTCATAGTCCTGTTTCTTTTCTCAAATTCTTTTGAACCCTATTGCAGGCAGACAGGCAATACGAAATCCCACAGCCACATAGACTCCCCAAACAGCCAAAAGATGCTTTCTTGATTGAACAAGTCTTTAGTCCTCATCCTTACCCTGCATCACTCAAGTCACACATGAAAAGCAACCCGCTCTACACAGATATGAGGTTGACAGAACTGGCTGAAGTGAAACGTGCCCAGCCGTCGTGGACCATAGAAGAATACACGAGGAATTCAGGGGATAAAGGCAAGATTGCAGCATTGGATCTACAAGTGAGTCCCTTTTTTTTTTTGTTAATGTGAATGGCTTGTTTGTGACTGGATATTACTAGAGTATGCATTTAAGAAGGGATTTGGATAGCTCAGAAAGGAGCTATTTAGTGTTGAGCCACTAGTCTGGCTGATCCCTATCCATCCTGGCTAAGAACAAAGTAAAATGTGGATGTTTGATTGCTGAATGATGATTCTTGCCAGGTTGGTGTTCCCTCTTATTCTGTAATGGAGAAATGTCTGGTAGGCCAGTGCAATATCTGTAGCTCTAACAAAGAAGACGGGGATAACAGGGTGCAGAGATGAACTGCTCATAGCAAGTCAGTGGGGAGAATCTAGCGTTGTTGTTTTTTCTTTTATCCTCATTCTGTCTGAATTGTTCACAGAAAATTTGTGTTAATGGTTTTTCCACTTTGGAAACATGAAGCAAGATATTTGTAGGAGACATTCAGTACTGTAACTCCTGAAACACATCGCTGTTATGGCATTGAAGAGGCTGTTGGAAGAACAAGCTCGCATGAAGAGCAGATCAGTTAATGTGTCTTGCTCACATTTTAGTTCAGTTTGCAAGTGTGTGTGCCTTTGTGCTAATTCTTCCAATAGTCACTGCTTGCCTGATTTTGGTTCATACTGCTGAGTGCCAACTGAGTTTGTTCATTTTAAACTATATTGTGTGTTGTGTTCCCTGGGCAAATGATGCACTCCCAACCACTAATGGGCCAAACCAGAGGTAGTCCCAAGCCACTTCTCTCCTTCAAATTCAGAAGGGGAGATCCAGGGTCTTTACTGCTTTTCTGCTGATCTGCTCCTACCAAGTTGTACAACTTGTTAATGCAGGCATAGCTATGTAGCTTAAAAAGAATAACAAAAAACAGCAGAGTGGGTTAGTGAAAGACAAACCCAATTTAGGGTTTAATTTTTCCCAAATCACTGTATATTTGAAGCTGCTATAAGAAGGGTCAGGCTGGATGGGGCTCTGAGCACCTGATCAGCTCAGAGGTGTCCCTGTTTATTGCAGGGGATTTGGACGAGATGACTTTTAAAGGTCCCCTCCAATTCACACTATTCTATGATTCTATATGGCAGCAGGTAGAGCCAGCAGGGGACTGGTGCTGACCTCAGGCATTCTGGGCTGCTTGCAGACATATGCATGCCCCAGAGCCGAGCAAGCTGCCTTGGTTAGCTGCTGGGCTGGCAGTGGTAGAAGCACACTGACCTACAGCCCAGGGCTGATCAGCAGTGCATGCAGTCACCCCCACAGTGCTATAGTGCAACTTGCATAAATGATCGCGAAGGAATTTGGGCACAGCATATTTACTTCCAGGCTCAGCTCTCGTGAACACCCTTATCCTCACCAAGCTTTGCTCCTTGCAGTGGCTGAAATGCACTCAGAGAGAAACTGAACAGCACAGGGACCTCAGCTGTGTGCTGCTCTCTGGGATTTAAAAGCATCAAGGGGTTTACCAAATTCCTTCCCTTGTCATTGCAGCCCATGTGCTATAGTAGGAAGAGGTTGCAAGCAGTTCCTCTGCAGCAAAACAGCCCTTATCTGCTGAGCAGAGGCAACTGGGGAGGTGATATTTGGAAGCATAACTCCCCTGGGAGAAGTGTTCTCCATCTGGTCCTTGTAGGACTGCTTTCTTCCATGTAAGCAGCCCTGCACGACTGTGAGCAAACCAGAGAAAGCAGCTTAGTGCCATCATTTATCTTTAGGATAAAGGTGATAAAACTTTACAAGTTTGATTCTCTCCCCCCAAAAGGACTGTAGGAATTGCATCTACTCCACAAACCTCACGTCTAGACTTCATAATAGAGCTTACTGACAGACTTAAAGAACAGACGCAGACTGATGAGTGGGTTTTCCTAGGTGATTAATTTTATTAGAACTGAAAGTAAATACATTATGCTTTAATGAACATTCCTACATCTGGCAATGAAATGGGAAAGGAAGCTGACTAACAGTAATGGGCCTTTTTAATAATGCATCTTCCTTCTGAAGTAGTTAAAAGGTCAATATCAATGCAGAGGGGTCTGAAAGTATAATTCCCTTGAAGCATAGCACGGCTGTCCTTGGTTTTGTTTATGCAGTTGTTTGCTCATTTAAAATTTCTCCTGATCTTCCTTTAAAGCAGAAATTGCAAAATTGCATTTGAGTCAAAGGCATGGGGTCCAGGTGAGATCCCAGTGCTTTGTCCTGTGTATAAGGATGCACTGTCAGGATGAATGGTGCAGCATGAAGGCTCAGCTGATGGTCTCTGCTTCAGCTGTCATAGAGATCTCCGTTAAATGATCATGAAACTGCTGCTTAATTGTTTATTTCTGAGGTGGCTATACAATACTGCCATGGAATGCTTCTTTGCATAAAGCAAATAGTGCTTCCAGGCAAAGGAAGGTTTCGGCCGGCAGCTCATGGCCACAAATCTCAATGAGCCAATTAAAGGCTTACCCAAATCCTTCTCAAGTCTGCTGGAGTTTCTTTGTGCTGGCTCCAGTGAGCTTTGCATTGGGCCCATTATGGCGCAGAAACGTCTGTGTTAGGGTATTCTCACTGGGAGATTTCTATGGGGAATCTTCCTTATTTTTTAAAGAAATGGCCTTTTGGATACTCAGACGCAGGAGACAGCTTTAAGGAAAAGTTGTCATTTTTAAATTTTTTTTTTTCCTCTCCTTTTTCACACTTTTGCTTTCTTTTCTTCTACTAAATACAATACAATGCCTGCTGTTTGGGTTTTCCATTTTTCCCTGTTTTCCCTTGGAGAAAGGATGGAAGGAAAAAAAAAACAAACAACCACAAGCAAGGTGGAAATGTAAAGCTCAAAGAGCTCAAAAATTGTAATGAATAAAAAAAAAACCAGGAAGAAAAAACCATAAGAAATAAAACACTCAAAAACCCCCAATGTCTTGAGTGGGCCTGTGTGGAGCCAGAAGTTGGACTCAGTGATTCTTACGGGTCCCGTACAACTTGGGGTATCCTATGGTTCCATGGTTCAAAGTTAGGGTTAGCTTCATAAAATGTCAGTTGTAAGGAATGTGTGTGAGGAACCCTTCCTACCAGCTGGGCTTTAATAATTTAGAAAGCAGTGACAGCCCGGTTGCTGACATCTCTGCTGCCAAGGAGATTAAAGAGATCTTATTTAAATGCCACCCAAGATGATGACGTTTCCAGCCTATCAGAAGTATGTTGGGTATTTTGCAGCAGGACAATACCATTGAGGGAGTTTATTTGTTGCAGTATTTTGTTGCCTCTTCCTTCCGTCTTACGGAAGTGGGATTGGGAGAAATGCAGTTGGACGGATGCACGGAGCAGCCATAGCTCACTTCATCCTGACAGCAGCTGGGAGGCGTTCTGGCTTTGCTTGCTTTATTGGTGACAGATCCCAGGCACTTAACAACTGTTTCCTTTTAATTTTTAGACTCAAGAATCTTTAAACCCGAACAACTTAGAGTACTGGATGGAAGACATTTATACTCCTGGCTACGATTCCTTGTTAAAGCGCAAAGAAGCCGAGTTCAGAAGAGCAAAGGTGTGCAAGATAGCTGCCCTGATAGCAGCGGCCGCTTGTACGGTGATCCTGGTCATTGTAGTTCCCATTTGTACAATGAAATCCTGAACCCACAGACAGAGCCGTGACTGCAGCTGGGCGCATCTCAGAGAGCTCACTCCCTGTTTCAAACAGCCTGTGGCAAAACTGTAGAGGAATCTGCTAAGGAGGAACGTTCTGAGGATATCCTGATGGAGAGTGCTGCAAACGCAGACAAAACGTGAAATGATGAGAGAGAAGGTTTTTTGAGAAGTGTTATTTTAAATAATGGTCCGTGTGCGTGGCAGAGCTGATGGGAACTCGGTTCCATTTTTATGCATTTTTAGAAGTGCAATATTTTTTTTCCTAAAGAGACAATATAATGTTTTCCAGAGACTGATGAGAATCCAGAAAAAGGGTGAGGTTTGTCTGAGCTATGTTGCATTCGGTGGAGGTGTGAGTACCTGCAGGAAGCACTGTATAGAAGGGAATGTTGTATATGCATTACATCGGGGAGCTGCAAATGTCTTAAAGCTCTACAATGTAGAAAACTCTGAATGTATTGTATTTATTTTATAGTATTTATGCATATCATGATCATTTGATTGAAAGCAGACTGTGTAGCCATGAACAGAGTTCATTTCTATGTTCAGATTAAAAAGGGCTCTTTATATTTGGTCTTGCCCTAAGACCCACTGTCATCACTGAGTACTTAGATAAGTGCAATGTGCTGCAGACCAAAAAGATTATGTTCTAAAGCAATCAAAGGAGGTTTCAGTTGCTTCTGTTGAATAACATTTGCATAGAGCTGGCAAACATGCCTTGCCGAAAGGGTATTCTTTACCTCTGCAGACAGTGGAATTGTCTCAATTTCACTCCTGCCAGCAAGCAAAGCTGGCAAATCCAAGCAACACTCTGCTGAAGTTCTTGCAAATGTAATCTGAACAGTTATAATTTTGTCACAAAGTCTTTGTGCCTTTTTTTAGACTGTGGATTAAATAGAACGGTTTAATTTTGCTATTTTAAGCCCATAACATAAATCATGGCATAATGGGTACTAATGGAGCTTCTTTTCCCGCAAGCCTTCTATACAGTTCAGATTGCTCTTCAAATTGCAGGGCTGGTGGTTACTGAGCACTTATATTAAGGGCACAGTTTTTCAGCGCTGGTGGAAACTTGCTGTTAATGCAATGCATTCAGCGCAGGGAGCCCTTCTGCTTCCCTAGTGCTAATGTGCTTAAGAATGATGGTTGACTCTACTGGGCAGCAAGAAGTCTGTAACCCCATGAGAAACATCCATTTAATGCTCTATTCCAAATGCACGTAGCAGGTTAAAAGGAATTCTCAAGCTATGACAGAAACTCCCTGTCATGCAGTGTGTAAGTAAATACCCGGACAGTATTTCTCTTCTGTCACAGATAGATGGGAAAAAGTATCTAAAAAAAGTATTTTCAAGAATTAACGTGATCTTGCTGGTCTTCTGAGAGAAATGAGATCCTCTCAGTAAATGCTTTTTACGGAAGGTAATTTGGCTCCTTCACAGCCATGTAGCAGCTGTGAGAGTGTCCCCTGCCCGTCCCACTCTGGGTGGATGGGATGCACAGCCTACACCAAAACCTGCACCTCCTGGTGCAATCCTGACCCAAATCCTGTGGTTTTTTTTTCCCCATTTCTATACTAAGATTTCTCTTTCCTTCCAGGTGCTGCAGGATGGAGTCACAGTAGACAGGGAATAATTCACACCATCTATTTTGGGCTCCCCTAAGGCCTTCTATCACCATGTGATTCAGAGCACCTATGTTTAGGAGCTCAGCTTCCATACGTAGTAAATATAGACAGGTAGAGTAACCCCCAGGGATGTTTCAGAACTGCCAGCAAGATGTCTAATTTTAGACATGTGAATACTCTCCGCAGAGCCATTGCTCTGCATTTTACCTTATGCACAATTTATGTTGATTGTAGATGTAGAAATCTCACTGGTTCCAGGTAGCGACAGGAAGTTCTAATGTTATTTGTTGGCATCAAGGAATTTTTGCATTAGGGACATCAAATATCCTGAGGATCTGGGAGGAGATTGAGTCATGAAGCTAAGAGCTCAGCATCCCAAGTACCCCTAATTTACTGAAACGCTTTTGCCCATCCTCCCATTGAACAGAGGCAACCCATCCCATTGTAGCAGCATGCCAGCACATGGTTTGGCACAAATCCCTAATTTGAGCTCCGTTTGGCTCTCGCAGTGTCTGGGAAGCATCTCAGCAGTGCTAGGAGCCCATGGGCAGTGGGGAAGGCAGAGCCCGGCTCCACCTCCATGCTCCACAGATACCTCCAGGAGCCACCACTTTGCCTTCCCTTGTAGAAAATGGGCATCCCTAGGCTTCCCCTATGGAAAATGGGCATTCCAAGTCTTCCCATTGAGTTCCTCATCTTTGCTTAAAATAGATAAGGGTGGTGCAGTGGTGGCTGCTGCTGCTGCCAGAGGAGAGCAGCCCAGGAAGGAGGGACCCTTCAGCCCTGTGCAGAATGTATAAAACAAGGGGAGGTCCTACAATAGAAACCTGTGAGAATATTGTGGTTGACCTTGTGAACCAGTTATCAACTCATATATGCTGTATACTACATGATAGACTTTTGTATTTAAAAAGAAAAATAAACTAAAGCTATAGGTACATTGTAATCCTTGGTGTGATTGAAAAAAAAAAAAAAGTGTCTTAGATTGTATTATTTAATTAAAATTATGATGAACATATTGAACTGTTTTTCGTATTTATGCCTTATAAACTTGATATATTACACATGATAAAATGCAACTGCAAGAATTACAAAATTAAATAAATAGTATTCTGGGGGCGAATCCTGTTTACTTTTCCTACAACAGGAGAGCTGCAGAAATCAGCTCCATAAGTCATATGTGTAGAAGTGCAAGAACAGAATCTGTCCCCAAATGACTTTTTAGGATTTTTTTTTTTTTTAATGGGGCTTTGGTTAATGTACAATGTAATGATTTTATTTTATAAAGTAACTGTACAATGTTGCCTTTCGGTTCATTTAAATATAATACCAAATAAACTTGAAAATTACAGTGTCCCAAGTTTTAATGAAGCAGTTACAGTAATTTATTATCCCATTGCTTTTCCTCTTTTTCTTTTCCAGGGACATCAAGATAGCCATGGGATGTGAGCATCGCAGTGTTAGATAACTAAGCACTCCATCTAGTTCTTGGCAGAATTGCTAATGGATTTCTCACTTGTGAAATAATAAGATGGCAGAAGATAATGAAAAATGAGTTTGTTGGGTTTCTTTAAAAATCTCCTTTGCATTACAATGTCTGAGCTTTTGGGAGATTAGCTCTTGACACTAATCATAATATTTCATTTTGTAGCTTATTTCACGACTGAATTATGCCGTATCAACTGTTCTAACAAGGTCATGACTAATATTTTGGAGTCTGTTTCCTTTATGCGTTTGTGCAACCGCTGTTCCTTTTATGTCAGTGCAACAGATAACTATGTATAGTCACCTATCAGCAGGAGATTCATTTGCTTAGGATCTCCATCGGAATTTAATGTGTTGCTTTTGACTTGTTAATTGCAAAATGACATTGTTGAAAATACCAGGTGTTGTAACTACAAGGAATGCAGCACCAAAGATCGCAAAGAGGAGCTGCAGAAAAGGCAATGCATGTAAATGGTGAACAACGACAGGAAACACAGTAGGCTAAGACCCCAATTTCCTCATCTCTACTGCAAAAACCCCTTTTACGCATTGCTTTAGCAGTTCTGTTGAGGATGGGGCTGTTGAGTTCTCTGTGTGAGGTTCTCCTTGGCCATGGGTTGGGCTGCAAACCAGCACAAGTTCCCTTGAGAAGGACTATCCTGATTCTGGGGGATTGTAGCATCAAGTCTAGAAGATTACAGGTGAAAGTGCCCTCTGAATTTTTATTTTATAGTGCAAATCCAGGAATAGGAACTGTCATATTAATGCTAAATGAGGCCAGCTTCATGCCAAAAAAGGTCTCTGGCTCTAGTTCCTTAGCCAAGAAACTGAATGTATGGGATATATAGACCTTATCTGTGTTATCATTGTGCTGGAAGGCCAGGAGGCTGCCAACTTTCTGCAGCCATTGCTGGAAAGAGTACATGAGTCTCGAGGTTGAAGGAAGCTCTCATGTGCAATGCTCTATCTTCCACAAGGGCACAGCCCCATGCAACCTCTGCTTCTGTGAGTGTATTGCTCACACCAATCAATAAATTCTTTATTTCAAAGAGAGCTTTGGTGAATGGTTCTGCCTGACACACAAGAGTCACAAACGAAATACCGGATCTCTGAGCCATATTGAATCACAGCGCTCCTGTGACTCCATCACACTGAATCCTCAGACCAAAGAAGAGAAAGTAGCCTGCAGCCCAGATTATCTGCAGTGTGGTCCTATTTAAAGGAAAGGTCAGTTGTGTTGGTGTGCACTTCGGGAAAAGGCAAATGTCTGCGGGAGTAATTATAAAGATGAGATACTTCCTTTAATCTGATATTTTCTTTGTTATGTTTTCAGGAAACAGCATTATGCCTTAAAAAGCTCTGTTCTGCCAGTAATCCCTCCAGGAAACTTCAGTTGTGATGGCTGCAGAGACCATGGACTGTTCAACCTCTTACTGTTACACAGATCCTCACAGACCATTTAGAAACTGGAGCAGCTCTTCAAAGAAAAGAAGAATCAAGCTGTCAGCAGCCCAGCTCCTCCTTTAAGTAAGTTCCTTTTGATTTTGTTTATCTCCTGCAATATGGTCAAACAGTCTGTGAGAGTCACAAATCACTTCCAAAAACAACGATGCACTCATCCTTCCTTAAAGCTGATACATGGAGATTTTCAAGGAGGTCTCGTGAATAGTCCTGGGTGAGCCCAGCTCAAGAAGGCAGGTGGAGAGGCTTGCATTCCCTGCTGGACCAGAGAGGTTGTCAGTGAAATGAAATGCATTATAGGGTTGAGGAAATGGCAGGGAGTATATGTCTGGAGATACAGTTACTGCTGAGACTGGAGGCTTTTAGAAACTAAATGTTCTGCAGCAGTTTCTTCCTTATTATCCATCCCTAGTCATGCTTTCCCTGCCCTCCTTGGTCTTGGGAGTTCTCCTTGTCCCATTGATGGAGCTGGCAGCCAAAACAAAATACAGAATTGGAATCTGGAATCTCCTCTCACTGACTCCCAAAACATTGTGGAAGCCTGGAAATCACAGAGTTATGAAGATGCCCCTATTATCTTTAACACTGGGCTTTATGGAGGTTGCACTTGTACACCACTCTCTACAAACAAAAGACTGAAAACTGGTTTAGTATATCAAAGACAAAAAATGAAAGGGTGAAATCTGTTAGGTAAGAGTGTGCAGTTCTGATTTCTGGTGCTTATAAAAAGATGCCCAACTCTGCTATTCACAGAGTGAACGTTCTCTGCTCTGTTCTCTGGTACAAGCTGTGCTATCTACACATTGTTCCCATCGCACCCTGGGGCTCCAACTCATGCCCACCTCAGCCACATGCAGGTGTCCCCCTGTGCCAGAAGAAGGGGAAAAGGGAATTACCTGTCCTGAAAAAGCCCTTCCTGGGAGAAGGACAAGAGAAATGCCAATTATTCTGCCCAGCCGTGGAAATGATGGGCAGTCTGCTCACTGCTGAAAAACTTTGCTGTGAGTTCTGCTTTAGTGACAGACAGATCTCTGTCTGCATTGAAAATTCCCCATCCTGCCAGGCTGTTGTGCTACCTGCAGTAGAACAAATCTTTATCGTTCTGAGTGTTTTTCCCCACATAAAGGTGAGAGGAGAGGGGGGAGGGCCAAGGAGGCTGAGTCATTTGTATTCTTGCCTTGTCTTGCTAATGAAATATTGCTGCTGAACTTTACCCTGTCTTTCCTGTTACTTTTTTTTTTTTTTTGCAATGGTTACCTTTTAAGAGGCTCATAAAATTGCATTACGAAAATTTATGACTGTGCAGTGAGTGTGTGCAAGTGTATTAATTCTCTTCAAGGCCAGTGTCTTGTAGCTGTAAAATTAATGTTATGGTGTGATTTCTAGTATGGCTAATTGCTATTCAGTAAAGCAGCACTCCGTGTTTTCTCACCTTATGGCACTTAATTCCTTCAAACAGCCTTTCCTTGGGGAGTTTCCCAGGTAACCGTCAACAAAGGATATATGCACAATATCTATATATTGGATATTAGGAGAAATTTCTCAGAAAGTGTGGTGATGCATTGGCACAGGCTGCCCAGGGAGGTGGTGGAGTCCCTGGAGGTGTTCAAGAACTGTGGGGATGTGGCACTGAGGAACGTGGTCAGTAGGCGTGAGGAAATGGTTGGACTAGAAGATCTTAGTGCTCTTTTCCAATCTTGATTCTAAATATGTATTTTTCTCCATTTATTTAATGTGATTGAAGCACTGAAAATCTTGTGAGCTTGTTCAGCTGGATTTGAACTCCTTTGGTGGGGTTAGTTGAAAGGTTCAAAAGCAGACATCTCTGAATGCAGTGGGTTAAAAACCTGCCTCTTAACTACAGTTAAACCCTGCACTGTTTGAAAGCAACTGAACAATAATAGGTCAATAAAAGCTCAGGTCACTTGAAATTACCTACATTTATCCTTATGTTTTCTTACTAAGTAGAAAAAATCCTTTCTTGCTAGAAGGGTGGACTGGTATTTGTATCCTTACTAAGGGAGAAAGATGTGCTGATCTTTTATTCCAGCAACCAATGATGAGTGGTTGCTTGTGTACTGGATGAACAGAGCAGCTTGGGGAACAATTTCAGACTAATGGGATAAGAATTCAAAGGGGATCCAGTGCCACTTGCTGTCATCTTCAAGGCTTTGTTTGACAGCCAGCAGAAAAACTATACTCGTTGTGCCCCAATGGTCATATGGGTTATGGAACAAGCAATATCCTTGTTGTCTGTCACAAATGCAACCCTGACCACTTGGGACTCAAAGCAAAAGTGTGAAGTGTTTAGGTACCAGATTTACTGGAGCTCAAGGGAAGGGCAGTGAAATCCAAATTATCATATAATCATGGACTATCTCGAGTAGGAAGGAGCACATAAAGACCATTGATTCCAGCTCCTGGGTCCAAAACACAGGATCACACAAAAAATCAGATCCTATGTCCGAGAGCTTTGTCCGGGTGCTTCTTGAACTCTGGCAGCAAAGTGCCATGACCATTGCCCTGGGGAGCCTGTTCCACACCCACCACTGGGTTCTGCACCACTCTGGTGTAGAAACCTTTCCTGATAACAAACCTGAACTTCCCCTGATGTGTGTGAGCTTGTTGGTCCCACAAAATGAGCTCCAACTGTAGTAGAACTTGGGCTCATGTTAAGTGATTGCTAGGCAAAGGAATGAGTGATGGCAGCCAGCAAAGATCTCTTGGTGGACAAAAGATATCTGGTTGGGTGCTGGAGCATCTGTGCTATCCAGTCTGTAGGAGCAGCAGCCTTGTCTGGGGGCAGTGGCACTGGTATTCTTTCTGCTGAAAGATATGAGCAGACAAAAACAAGGCCCCCCTGGGATAGAGGCACCACTGAGGGGAAAGGCAATCATGTGCAAGCTCTCAAGGCAGAACTGTATGCCTTGTATGTTTTGTGATGAGATGCTTGATCTCCGTGGGCTTTCATTTTGTGCCAGTAATTCCCTGTGTGACTCCTCAGGCTCTTTCTTGGAATGGAGAATTTCCCTCACCTTCTGTTTCTGAAGTACTGAGGAAAATGGGGGCCAGATATGGGCTGAGATATCGGCATTAATGCTTATGATGGCATTATTGTTATCATAGTTACAGCCAAATTTGAAACTCTGGAGGCAAGGAGTGTTACAGCACCTGGGAGGTGCTCGGCTCTGCTTGTCATAATGTACCATGAAAGTGATGAATGGCACCAGGAAAGCATTTAGGGAAGGAGAGTAGAGGAAGCACGATGCTCTGCTGGGTGGTGGTGTGGGGAGGGCAGGATTAGCGCTGCAGGAGCCAGGCAGGCAGCAAGCATCTGCTGAGGGCCACCCAGATCAGAGCACAGTGGGAACATGAAATCCTTGGACTGGTTATCAAGGAGCTGGGAACTCTAGG